TAGGATGGGTAGCAGGGGGCAGTCAGGGGACAGGGAGAAGGGGTGGTTGGAGTCCGTCAGGGAACCGGGGTGGGGTTGGATGGGGCAGGAGTCCTGGGGGTGGGGGCAGGTAGGAGGTGAGGGCCAGGCCATGACCCACTCCCCGAACTGGCCCTCCATTCAATTTACGAAACCTGATGCGGCCCTCAGGCCAGAAAGTTTGCCCGCCCCTGGTTTAAGAAGAGAAGTAAAGGGGTGGAGGAGGAGGCAGCCAAGTGGACTAAAGTTAAGCCCCTTCTCTGTTAGAAAAGCAGATTATTGCATTTGGGACATGCCCTTGGATGCAGTGGAACCCGATGTAACAATTGACACTTTAGAAAATATGTTTGAGAAATATGTACAGCTGTGCAGGCCTAATGCGAGTAAAAAGCAAACGGCCGTAGTGTGGCAGTTGTGGCAGGCTGCAAAGAAGGCAATTGTGCAGAGGGGGAAATCTCTGCGGCGATACAGACATTACAAGAGAATTCTAAAACTCGCCAAGAAAATTTGGAGCGGGAAGTGAGGCCGCACAGATAATGCAAACTCAAATAGAACAAATGGGGAAACAAAATAGGGAATTGGAAAAGAAAATGGTGGATTGGGAAAAGATTCAGGCCGACAAAGATAAATGGGAAAATCAAGTGGTAGGGATGAAACAGTTAATTTGAGAACTGACTGAGGAAGAGGAGACTGCAAGCGCTTCTCACAGTTGGTGCCCGAAAACCATAGCAACCTGGAGGAACCAGGTGAGAATGAGGGAACTGCAAGTGGCAACTGTATGTCAAACAGAGAATGGAGATTTGGATTTGGATTTTAATGGAGATATCCAGTGTGGAGAGGATTCAGAGGACCAGCGTGGGGGTCAAGAGAAAAGGGAACTTTCCGTATATACTCGTTCATAAGCCAAATTTTTTTTAGTAAAAAAGGGAAGCACCAGAGACGGGGGGTCGGCTTACGAACATGTATAGAGAGGGAGAGGCAGCAGAGCCAGACAGGAAGAGGCAGGGCCAGAGTCTCTCCGCTTATTTATCCATCTTGAGGGGATTGGCTTATAAACGAACCAGCTTACGATCGAGTATATACGGTAATTAGCCTGCGATCCCCTTGCAGCACCCCCGCCCTCCTCCAGTGTTTACCAGAGCAGCGGCCGGACGTGCACCGGGAGCAGGGCAGGCTCCCTGACTGCCCGCCCTGCGCAGCTCTGGGAAGAGGCTGGAACGTGGGGAAGGGGGACGGGGGGGTCTGTGTGTGGCTGTTGCTTTAGGCAGTGCCCCCAGCAGCTCCCATTGGCCAGGAACGGGGAACCGCGGCCAATGGGAGCTGCTGGAGGTGGTGCCTCAAGCAACAGAAACACACAGCCCCTGCGCCTGTTTTGGGGCAGGGCAGACAGGCAGGCAGGGAGTGCAGGCAGGGAGCCTGCCCTGTCCCCGGTACGCGCCGGGCCAGATCCTGCCCCCTGAACCCCTCCTGCAGCCAAACCCCCTGCCCTGACCCCCCTGCCGCACCCTGCGCCCTGACCCCCTGCCTCACCCCGCACCCCTCCTGCATCCTAACCCACTGCCCTGAGCCCCATGCTGCACCCCTCCTGCACCCC